GAAAAATGTAACACAAAAACATATCAAGACCAAGTGCTAGGCAGCAGAGGCCTTAATATACCAGGGCAATAAGGACCTCAAGGAGGGCCATTTCCTGCTCCCCACAATCGCTCGATCAGATAAGGCGCAATACCAAGTCCGCACGCCCTCGCGGCCATATGGCATCAGGAATTTTGCTTGGCTACAAAATAAGCAGGAATATCAACAACACCTCGCTTACTGCAAAAACAACTAATGTATTCCAAAACGTAGTATTCTTTTCAATTAAAAACCATTTGCAATAGCACTAGTCCTTATAGGATACGGCTACGTAGAAGGTGTTGAACTATGAAGATTGCAAAGTTTATTACCGTTAAACTTGTAAGATTGATTCTTGTTTAATTCAAAATTGAATGATTGGTTGTTGTTTACTAACTACGTAATTGAACTTGATTACTATAACGACAATTAAAAGCGATTAAAATAAAGTGAATAGAGAGACGGGTAGGGAATTGACTTCACCAACCCCTCATAACCATGGCCAATTGCGTTTATCATGGGGAAAACTACGATATACATAGCAATCATTCGTATGGCTTACGCTCACAATGGAATCGTCAAGAAGATAAATGCACATACAAGTCAAGAACTAAGCATGGTTCATCTTTAGTTAGCACAAATTGTCTACCAAACTAAGCTAAACTAAAATGTAGTACAACTTGTCTTCCCTAAATATGATATATCAAAGTTCTTGCTTTGTATGTAATGCAAACAAATGATAACTCATCATTCTCATTATCACTATGAAAATGAACATGGTTCCCTTATAACAAAAGCTTTCTAAGATAAAATAAGATTTTATCATAAAATATTATCAACATTAAAATCTATTACAAGATAGATTAAACTTATAAACAACAAAGTTATACACTATGCCATACGAATACATAATTTTCCCCAACCTATACACAAAATCAAACTATAGTTACCTGAAGATAGCTACATCAACTCCCTAGGTAGAGCTTTAGATGCTTATGGTCATAATGGAGGCCTCCTTGGTGGAAGAAAGCATCATCTCCAAGCTAGACTCCATGGATAATCTTCAAGCTTTAAAACCCAAGTTTTTTCTCTTTAGAACTCTCTTTTTCTCTCTCTAGATGATAAGATAGCTTTTTATATACAAGACAAGCTCAATATATATCTTATGTGTTCCTCCAAGAGAAAGAATCTCGTGCCCCAAAAGTCGGCCACAAGATCCATAAATCAAGGGGATAAGGTTTGCTTTTCACCAACTTTTTCAACCACCAAAAGTTACATGGACGACCGGTCATCGCTTGCCATGATGTATGCTATGCGCAAGCGAGTGCTTGCCAAGGTGCTGTGGGGTGGTATGGGACAACCAATCGTTGAGAAGCCAACTCTCTATTTTGCAATTGAAATTCAAATTACAATTGATATTTCAAATTTTAACATGGACGATCGATTGTCCAAATTATGCCTTGGGGCGACAACCGGTCGTAGCTCCTTTGATGGGCCACTTTGGCCTTTAGCTTGCAATTGGCCTTAGGCCCTCTTCGTCTATCTTCCTTCCAGTCCAAAATTATCTATGATCTTGGGTCAAGTGACTTGAGATCTTCATTGAATCGAAGCCTGAGTAGAATCATCATTTCAAAGCTCGAATTTCCTAGTCTTAATTGCTTTTGAGGATAAAAACCTAAAAATAAGAAGAAAAAAAAAACGAAAATAACATAAAAGCATAAAATAGAAACTACTAAAGAGCTAAAATATGCAAGTAAGAGGGCTTGAATGTATAACATTCAACGCTCATCAGCAACAGGATCGTCCTTTTAGAATGGTCATAGGATACCCGCGCTCACCACAATCGGAACACCGCCTCAGGCCAAGGCACATCAAGTTAACGACGACCCAGGATAAACTGATCACTTATGCTGAGGCGGCTTTCTAGCCAAACATCTTTTGGTACGCCCGGTGGGACCATATGTGGGTAAAGACTACTTACACCTTATCTAGTTCAGCCTGATAATATATGCCTGTGACTCATTCACAAATGACAGTACTAAGAGATCTTTTAAACGCAAAAGATATGATTGATTTAGAGTTTGATGCCTCTACTTATCCTGAGCAGCAAGGCCAAACTATTGTTTAGAAGTTTAACAACTAACAACAATTAGGACAATTAGATGACATAATGTCCAACTCTATGATTTCAGTAGTCAGTGCGATTTCCTAATTGACTGCACGAATGGACAGATTCTTTGATTTCCTAATTGTATGCTTTTGGCTCACCCAAACCAGAGACTTCCAAGGGGTCACCAATCCTGGTACTACTTCAGGTTAAACACGCTTAACTCCGAAGTTTTGGTAGGTTCATAGCCATCACAACTTTAAAACGCGTTGTGTCATAGAATGGTATTGAATCTACATATAGCCCTTACCCCATCCACACCTAGACGATATAGGGTTGTGCACGTGTACATCGCCCAATGTGATAGCCTACTAGTGTCACCTGCACACGCTCACACACACCCGCCCACAAAGTCGCCACATGTTTCAACACTAACAATTGTGTTTTGCCTTTACCCTCAGCTCCATAATGGTTATGCCAATAACCATGGTTATTAGATGCCCGCCCCACCGGGGGTGGGGGGTAAGGTCAACCACTGCAACCTACCCTGCACGGTACGGGGGAGGGGGGGATATCGTTATCAAATGGTTGAGGCACCTCGAGCAATTCCCAAACCTAATTAGCCATGCAACATGATTCTATTATGATCTTGGATATACAAAGGACATTAACGTCTAGCCGAATGCACCTTTGGTGCCTCAATTAGCGCCACCGGCGAACGTCCAGCATCTCAGATAGCCAAGAATGGTCACTACAAAGGAGCAAATTGTGAAGATAATCCAAGAATAGTGAGGAATGTACCGGAGGTGGGGGGTAAGGTCAACCACTGCAACCCGCCCCGCACGGTGCGGGGGAGGGGGGGATATCGTTATCAAATGGTTGCGGCACCTCGAGCAATTCCCAAACCTAATTGGCCATGCAACATGATTCTATTATGATCTTGGAGATACAAAGGACATTAACGTCTGGCCGAATGCACCTTTGGTGCCTCAACTAGCGCCACCGGCGAACATCCAGCATCTCAGATAGCCAGGAATGGTCACTACAAAGGAGCAAATTGTGAAGATAATCTAAGAATAGTGAGGAATGTACTTTCCCCAGGTGGATAGCCCACAATTTTCAAAACCTTATCCTGAGTTTATCAACTGAGTAACTTTTTCCAGAAATTATAAACCTCCAATAATTCATACCTTTTTCAGGGAAGAGAAGAAGTCGACCGTTGAGCACATAAGTAAATTTACACACCAGATTGTGGAATTAGCTTTGGTCGAATTCCAAAAGATGAAGTTTTTCCCCATTCTCTGACTGGTGTAGCTTTTGTTTGGTTTATAAATCAACTACTTTATTCTATAGATAAAGGATCAATAAAAATAAACTCAATTATGAAGAAAAAAAAAATCATATCATATATAATAGATGAGAAGAAAAAGATAAAAGTAAAATTGAAAATTAAAAAAAATACAGTTGGTACAAGTCTCACGTATATTTCTTTGAGTAGAGACGGGCGGAGCCAGAATTTTATTTCAGAGGGGGCACAATGCACTTGTTTAAAAATAATTCTTTTTTAATAAATATGACAATATAATTTTTTTAAATCAAAAAGGCAAATAAGAAAAAAATAGTTATACAATAATATGCTAAATAAATACTGTAAAAAAATATAGTTACAAATATAAGAATCAAAATATTAATTAATAATATTTTAATTAAATACAATCACAAATGTCATCGATAAAAAGAAATAAGTTTAAAAAAATAGAAAAATACATAATTTTACCTAAGTGAAAAAAGAAATTTTTTAAAAGAGGAAACAAAAATTAGAAAAGGAAAAATATATTGGATACTTGAAGAAGGGATATATGTAAATTTTTTTTTTTTCCAAAAGGAAATTAAAAAAATTTGAAAATTTGAGGGGGGCACTATTTAAAATTACCATGTAAGTATATATATATACCAAAAATATGTACCTATGTATAGTAGGTTGGAGCAAAGTGAGAGGAGGACATGTACCCCCTCTGGGCCTTAATTCGCTCCGCCCTAAGAAATTACTTAGAGGTTAGATAGAAAACAGAAAGTTCCACATGATACACTTTGTAGAAATCCCACATTGAAAATTTTAAAAAGGATGTAAACTTCCATATATATAACAAGCAAATGAAGGGTGACACTAAAAAAAAGCTCCCACCCACACAGGAAACTTTAAAAAGAGAGGTGTGCAAGTTTAATTATAAAAGCAATGCATTATACTAGTATTACTGAAGTAACTTCGAAGCTACTAGTTGGGCCCTCTAACCAAGAGGCCCAATTCTAAAGTCTTTAAATTTTTATTAGCAGGCCAACACAAGTTCTTTTTGTGCAGTAAACTCATTACAGTAATTGGGTGGGCCGGTTAGTATTGAAATGACCGATTAGTCAGTGATTCCGATATACCGGTGTGTAACACCTGTTAGTCCAATTTTCGGCCAATTTGTGTCCATTTTTTGGCAGTGATTCCGATATACCGGAACACCGGTTAGTCCAATTTTCGGGATATGTGCACGGCCAATAGAGGTGCTATAAACATTGTTGTATAAAACTGGCCCAAAGATTGATATCATTAACAATGTGTGGTTTTTGGGCCGAAGACCCAACCCAGTCCTAATCGAAACTTCTAGGTCAAGTATGGAATTCTGTTTACTCACTTTAAATTGAGTATCCGTTTCCCTCGTTTTCCTGCTAGGATTGGAAATCTTTTTTTACATATCCAAACGATCGAGACCTTTGGTTTCTTATATAGTGTAAAAAAAAGTACTTCGAATCATTGCTATTTGACCCGGACCTGTTCGAAAAAAGTTGAACCCTTTTGGGGCCTAGTGTGATCTGCATCGCCTTTCCGTGTTCTCAAACAAAATTTCAGAAGTCAAAATCACAACTGTAATCATTTACAAACTTTATTATAGATACAAGCAAAGGAGAAGAGCAACGCTATGGTATGGTTATCTCATGGGAATGTAACACTTGCAAAACTTGAATGAATTTTTATACAAGTATGTACAAGTGGATATGTACATCTTTTCATCAGTTTGATGTAGGGCAGTTGGAATCCGCATTCTCCCTCTTGATCACTCTGGTATTGTAAGATCCACAAAGCCCACACTTGTGATATAACCAATGAAAGTTTGCCATGCCTTTCCGCTCACAGTCGTTGCAAAGTATATCCTGGATCACCATAATAACAGTAGAATTCTTCCGATTAGGTGAAATAAGGATGAGAATCAATGGTGCTGAATTGGATCTAAATCATTATTCTGACAAGAATTGTACATAGAGCATGAGGTTAAATCATTATTAATGATAAGGCCAGTATGTATAGCATGAGGGGAATAAAGAATATAGAGACGGAGTATTTTCTCCTTTTCTTTATCATTCTTTTATTTACTTTTCATCAAAGTGTTCTTCACCATACATAATGTAAAAAATAAGGGTTTGTTTCTACCATTACTATCACCAGAAAATTGCTATAACCAAACAATGACGGCAACCAAACAAAAGTAAGAGGGAACTTGTATAACTAGGAAACCTAGTCATAATTTATTTCAGAAGAAACAGATAAAACCCAAGAAAAACTGAAGAAATTTTTAGAAACAATTTTCGATATAACTTCTATATATTTCTAGAGAAGGAATATTCTAACATTTTTTTCTTTTCTTTTCTTTCGGAAAGTAACATTCTAAACAAATCGATGAACAAGAAAGAGGGCATATTCTAACATTACGATGTGCAATAAAGAGGGCTAATAATATAACAAGGAAAAGTACAAACACAATGTACCTGGCAACGGTCCCTGTACTCTTCTGGGAGCTCCTCAGCAGCCAACAAAGCATCAAGCATGCCAAAGTAGACCTGCACAAGTATGACATTCATGTTGGCTTAGCTAGCAGTTGCTTGAGATGTGATTGAAGACTTCGATCAGCAGACATATGAGTATGACAGAGAGATTGCAAGTTTGTATGGGATCAATAGCCTAGACCAACTGAAATCACACATATTAGGACACAATAAGTTTGGTCAACTTGACTATCACACAGCCTGAGTGGGACTTGTTGACTTCTCAAGAAGTTCTAAAATGTTTCCAAATGTAAAAAGTGTTCTATTTGGCATGAAAACCTTAGGAGATGTTTTGAGTGGGCTTGGAACAATACCCAGATTGGGTGTTTAATTCAGTCAGAATTTAATATATATATATATATATATAAGTTAGATTTCATTAAAAGAGAGCTCAAAGGAGTGCACAACCCAAAAACCAAAGCAAGACTTTTTATATATGGAATTTTGTTAACATCTTTACTTTCCAAATTGTAGGTTTGATCAACTTTTCAATGACATATTATTTGTCTAATTCGTTTGGCCACTCAACTAAGCTCCAAAAGTCAGGTCTAATATTCATCGTTCTAAAGAGTGCTAAAGGGAAAACAATATTTTGCACCAGTGCAAATATTTTGACGCAGTAGATCAATGAAAGCAATTAAAATAAATAAAAATAGCAACATATTCTTTAAACACTCGAATCCATGAGAAGAGGTTGAGAGAAACTCTCGATTTTCTGATATTGATAAAAGTAATAAGTAATAACTGATCTCTAAACTATTACAATAGCATGTATTTATAGGCCTAATCAAATCCTAAACTGTATAAGAAATTAAATCAATGGAAACTTTCCTAAAACAAACATAAAACTATTTAGGAAATTAAAACAATGAAAACTTTCCTAAAACAGACACTAAACTATAAGGAAATTAAAACAATGAAAACTTTCTTAAAACAGAAAATAGAAACTAGAAAATGTTGTTCACATGTACTATATCACGCTCCCCTTCTTCTTTAAAAGAACTCCCCCTCGAGTTCAATAATGGTCGTCCTTGTATTTCGTTGATAGTTCATCATATATATAAGTATGAACAAAATTTTGTACCATTGACGACTTGACCTTAGTGCTTCATCGTTGGCAGATCAAATCTCATGCAATATGATCCGGAAGATTTGTACAAACAAATCTGCAAGTGAGCTGTCAGATTTATACAACTGTAGTTGACTATTTTATTATTTCTTTTTTTAGCTGTACACTTTGTGTGTATATATATATACTCATATAATACCTCTGATTTTATTTAGTGAGAATCATTTTATTCTCTCATCTATCTTGCCTATTTCCGCTTCATGGTATCAAAGCCAGAAAAGAAGTTCTAATTCTTTCCTGGTTCGTCTCTCTCTTTGGCCTTCATTGCCATACATCTTCTTCGTTTTTTTCTCTTCCAATTCGAGTCCTTCAGTACCCTGTTTTTAAGTCTTTCAATGACAAAAACCTCAATCCAAGCCAAACCATTCATTCATTTTGAAATCCCACAGTCCAAATTACCCCAAAAAAATTAAATAGCAAAAATTTCCTTGAGTGGTCCCAATCTATCCAACTTTTCTTTAAAATGGGGCATCTTCATGGATCAGTAAAAGTACCAAAGGTAACTGATCCTTCCTATGAGTTGTGGAAAGCAAAGAATTCACAAATCATGACATGGTTGATAAATTCTATGCAACCTGAAATCGAGAAGCCTTTTCTCTCCCTTTCCAAGGCAAAAGAGATATGGGATAGAGTAGAAATATAAAAAGAAGAAAAAAGGAGAGGATTGTGTAAAAGACTTGAATGCTCTGAATCACCCATTCACAGCTCTAGTATTTATAGAATAAAAGAGCACATGCTCATATTATAAGAAAGGAAACTAAATCAAATCTAAATCAAATCACCTCATATTTTATAGCATAATCAAATCTCTGCTAATATGGTAAGTCATTCCATAAATTGTGGCTATCATATATGCTAACATATGCATGATCAAATCTCGACTAATATGGTAAGTTATTCCATAAATCGTGGCTATCATATATGCTAACACCCCCCCTCAAGTTGGTGCATGGATATCTGAAACGCCTAAATTGGATAATGCATTCTCAAACACAATCATGCTAACGCCCTTTGTAAGAATGTCTGCAAGCTGCTGAGAGCTTGTGACAAATGGAGTGCAAATTTGACTAGCGATGATTTTCTTTCAGATGAAGTGCCAATCAACAAATCAAAAATGTCTCCTCAGACCATAAACAATTAAGAATGTCTCCTCAGACCATAAACAACCAATTATGTCTCCTCAAACCATAAACAACCAAAAATGTCTCCTCGGACCGTAAACAACCAAAAATGTCTCCTCAGACCGTAAACAACCAAAAATGTCTCCTCGGACCGTAAACAACCAAAAATGTCTCCTCAGACCGTAAACAACCAAAAATGTCTCCTCAGACCGTAAACAACCAAAAATGTCTCCTCAAACAATTTCCCTTCATACACATATTTAAAACATGTAGATGGAAGAATCAACAATGTCTCTTCAGACCATTCCCCTTCATACATATGTTTAAACAATGTAGATGAAAGAATCAACAATGTCTCCTTAGACCATAAAAAGAAACAACTATGTCTCCTCAGACCATTTCTGAATAGGTGGTGTTAAACTCGCAACACCCTCATTGAGGTCGGACCACCCTGCCTACCCGACACCTCATGGATCGGCGATCTCACCTTAGACCATTCCCGAATGGGTGGTGCCGAACTCGCGATGCCCTCATTGCAGTCGGACCACCCTAGCTCTGATACCAAGTAGAAATATAAAAAGAAGAAAAAATGAGAGAATTGTGTAAAGGCTTGAATGATCTGAATCACCCATTTACAGCTCTAGTATTTATAGATAAAAAGAGCACATGCTCATATTACAAGAAAGGAAACTAAATCAAATCTAAATCAAATCACAACATATTCTATAGCATAATCAAATCTCTGCTAATATGGTAAGTCATTCCATAAATCGTGGCTATCATATATGCTAACAGATAGTGTGTCTAGAACCTACTCAGAGAGGAATTTTTCTCCAAGGATTTTTGCACTAAAGAGAAAAATCCATAATACAAAGCAAGGCAATCTGCCCATAATTGAGTATTACAACATTCTCATGGTCCTATGGCAAGAATTGGATCTGCATCAACACTTTGAGATGAAGGATTCGGAAGATGCAACTCAACTTGCTGAAATACTTGAACACGATCGAGTTTTGAGTTCTTAGCTGGACTTAATTCTGATTTTGATGAAGTCGGTGGACGAGTACTGGGAAAAGAACCACTTCCCTCAATGCAAGAAACATTGTTTTCACGTTAGTAATGAGGAGGACTGGAAGACTGTTATGGTAAAATCCACTCCTCAAGAGATATTGGCACTTAAGGTTTTTCAAGAGAAGCCTAAAACCTTCAATCTTGCTGTTGGACAATTTAAACCAGCAATGATCAAAGCTGGAGAATCCGACAATAGGTGGTGTGATTTCTGCAATAGACCACGGCACACTTGAGAGACCTGTTGGAGGTTACATGGAAAAACCCCTCTTGGAGACAAAGGAAATAAACAGCCACCAAGGAGAGTCTATCACGCCGCAACTGCTCCAAAAGATGATACTGTTGGTCATGACTTTGAAATCAGCCCTTCACTAAAGGTCAGTTGGAAACTCTGTATAAACTCTTGGGACAAGCCAGAATCTCAGGGAGTTTGAAATCAACAACTGAAACCACTAATGCCTCTAGTAACTTTGCTCAGTCAGGTAATATCCATACAGCTTTGAGTGCTTTAAACAATGTTTGTTCTAACCCTTGGATCATTGATTCTGGGGCAACGGATCACATGACTAGTGATTCACATGTCTTCACAACCTATAATCCTCGTTCAGGAAAGGAAAAATCAAAGTTGCCAATGGTTCCTTTATTCCAATTCATGGGAAAGGGTCTATTCCCGTAACATCTTCATTAGTTTTACCATCGGCTCTTCATGTTCAAAAAATTGTATGCAATTTACTATCCTTGAGTAAAGTCACTAAAGAGCTAAATTGTTCCATAACCTTTTTCCCCACTCAATGTATTTTAAAGGATCTTACTTCGGGGAAGAGGATTGGCAGTGCTAAATAGAGAGAAGGGCTCTATTACTTGTGTCCAGAAACGGGAAAAGATGCTCAAGCTTATGTCTCTAAAGCTGATGGTAAAGAAAGGGAGACATGGATACTTCACTACAGACTTGGTCATCCAAATTTTGTCTATTTAAGGTTCTTGTATCCTGAACTATTTGTTGGTATAGGAACTTCAAGATTTCAGTGTGAGTTTTGTGAAATGGCTAAGAGTCATCGAGTACCCTATCCAATAAATAATAAAAGGTCTTGAGATTCCGTTTTCTATTATTCATAGTGATGTGTGGGGACCATCCCGTGTCAATTCGTACTCAGGGTTTAGACGGTTCACAAGTTTCATTGATGATTGCACCCGTATAACTTGGATTTTCCTTTTGAAAGAAAAATCAGAAGCTGCTATGATCTTCAAATCTTTTCATGCAATGATTGAAAATCAAATCAAGAAACAACTTTATATCAGATAACGGAAAGGAATACTTTAATAACCTATTGGGATCATACTTTGTTGAAAAATGAATAGTTCATCAATCCTCTTGCATAGATACACCCCAACAAAATGGAGTTGCTGAGAGAAAGAATAGACACTTGTTAGAAGTTGCTAGAACTCTTATGTTTACTCGGGAGATTCCAAAACTTTATTGGAGTGAAGTTGTTTTAACCGCAGCATACTTAATAAACAAAATGCCAACCCTTCAATCCAAAACTCCTGTTCAAACCTTACAAATGCTCTTCCCTAGTATCAAGCTATTCGGGTCACTCTCTCCAAAAATATTTGGGTGTGTAGCTTATGTTCATTTACCAGGGAGGGAAAGATCAAAACTAGATCCTCGAGCCTTAAGGTGATCTTTCTCGAATACT